TCATTGCTTTTGCGGAACGAAAAACGAAAATATTCGTAAAAAAAATTTTTTTTCTCAAAACTCAACAAAAATCCTTTTATAAAATTTTTTTCGAAATTTTTATTGAACACACCCTCTCTCTCTCTCGCTCTCTTTCTTTCTCTCTCTTTTTCTCCTCATTTCCCCTCCTTTTTCTTTCACTCACTCCCCGATTCTCTTTCCTCTCTCCTTCTTTCTCATTCTTCCTTCTATCCCTCGCCCTCTCTGGCTCTCTCCTTTCTTCCACTCTCTGGTCGTTATACCCTTTAATTTTTTTTTCTATAATTCTCTTTTTAATCAATATTGTTTCGTTCTGCGATTTCTCTGGCCGTCATCTCTGCATATCCAAATTTTACACTATCTTTCCGTAATATTGTTTCGACTTTTTGAGCGAAAAATTGATTTTTCATCTTTATCTCTGTTACTCTCATAATTTACCATAATCCTTTGTTAATAATTGATTTTTATTATTCTCGAGATAAACAAGTCAAGTGACGTCATCAAGATTTAGCTTTTATTTCACTTTTTTGCTGAAAAATTTCGATAGGTCCGGGTTAAAGGTCAGGTTGGATATAATTCGAAAATTTTTGATTTGAAACTTTGTATGCATAAAATTTAAGTTGAAGAAATTTGGCGCAATTTGTGGGTGAATTATTTTTTATTTGCGTCATTAGCAATTAATTAATTATGGCTAATGGAAACTATAAAAATAGTATTTTTTGATTAAGCGAAGACCACGTGTTTCGCCTAGCGCCGACACGTATCTCTCAATCCTGTCAAGTATCTTTGCCGCCTCGTCGCGTAGCCACTCTCTTCTCACTTAGTCAACGTGCTTCGTCGGGTCTCAAGGCCCTTAGAAAAAAGCCATAAAAATCGGTTCAATTATTTGAATTCCAACTCAATTACGCCATTCTTATATTGAAAAATGGCTTTAAAAAATTGGTAGATGCTTCGCGAACTTCTTTTTTTTCCATTTTTAAATTCCTTTAAAAAGAATAAAAAATTAATGTAAATGGTGTTCAAAATGAAAAAGGACAGATAATATGCATGAATTTACTATTTTTATAAACTCGGCATTTTTCATTAAATTCGCTTCGCTGACTTGTCGGGTCGGCCAGATTTCGCCAGCGAGTCACTCGGCTACAGAAGCACAGCGCAAGTAGGTTGCCATTATCAGCTGGCTTTTTGCGGACAGTTTTATCCGTGTCGCGAATAGAACGACTGCTTCTGACAACGCAACGCCAAGGCAGCTGTACTAGCCGTTCTACAAATTTATTATTTGTATTAATATTTATTGGTAATGAAATACAAGAAAATTTTTAAGAAACGATCACTGAAAAATTTTCATTCGTTTTCGAGCAATTTTTAAAATTTAAATACAAATTCCTTTCATAATCGTTTTTTTTTTCATCACTTTTATATAAATAAAGGAAAATATAAGGGAAAAAGGAAAAAGGACATTCCACAAATTTTTATAATAATTTCTATTTATATTGCATTCTTCTTCAATGAATTTTCTTCTTTCTCTCATGTTTTTTCATTTTTTACGAATAATTCCATCATTTAAATTCCATTTAATTACTTCATTACAATGAAAATATAATATAATAATATAAAAATATATATAATAATAATTAATAATGATAATAATATTAAAATTGGAATTTATTCAAATTATATTGTCAAATCAAAAATAAAAAATAAATAAGTAATTGGAAAAGACAATTGAAGTAAAAAAAGTTCCATAGATGACTGCAGCTAATAAGTAAAATGCGCGAAAGAATAATGAATTAAAAAATCTTTCCAACTAAGTACCATGAGGTTTTGCGTAAATTTACTCTAGCAAGTTTATTCCAAACGTTGGTCATCATTTCACCCGAATACCAAAACTAAACGCCGATAATTTCCTTTAATTGACTGAGCCGAGTTTTAAACCATTTGATCTTGTCATTGATCATTAAACTTCACAGAGGTAGCACTAACCGATAAATCAAAAAGCATTCCGGCATCTATGTCGAAAATAAAACCTTATAGGCTATCAAATTAGCCTTAAGTCTTCTGAAGGCTTGTGTTCGTTGTTTTGTCACTTTTAGTCATTCTTTATAAAGCATACCTTTGATCGCAGAAATCGCAGAAAATGTATAAAAATCCATCAGTATTTTCTGTGATGATCTATGAATCCTTCTTCTTGGAGTTATAATATTTTATGGTAGGTCCAACGTCGGCCTTTTATGGTTCAATTTTAAATAACACAGATATCTATATAAACAATTTATACTTTATCCATATCTGGAATATTTCTAAGATGGGACGATAATATAGACAATTAGCAGTAATTCCAAAATAACATAAGTCGTGGACTCAAAAAGTTGTGGAAATAACTTTTCAGAGACCAGAGAACTTTTAGTTTTCTTAACTGAATTAGTTGATGAATTTCCTTTGTACGCAGAGATGAATGTATTAAGCAATAATAAATTCAGATCGCTGGAAGAGAGCAAGGAAAACCAAAGCCCTCAAATTAATGTGCTAACAACATAACTAAATAATTCTTACTGGGTTATATGAGAAAAATTATACGATTATATGCATAATTTCCTGAGTTACTCGAGAGCAGTGAAAAGTGGCCATGGCTTGGTCACTAATTGCAATACTCATCAAGTGCATCCTGTCGTCAGATATTGTATTAATATATCATAGTTTTTAAAAAAAACGATATTTAGAGGAATGTCACCTCGTAATTATCTTATAAAATTTTTTCTTCTAAGCTCGCAGCATTGCTCGTTAGGCTGACTTCGATTGTTATAAGAATAAGACGATTCCAAGCCAGCTCGATCGGGTCTTACGTCTCAATAACAAGTTTTTTAACATAATACCTAGCCAAATGATCTCGTGCGATTCCATAGAGGTTTGCTAACATTTCTAGCTGTGGCAATCCGGGTAGCATCTTCGCATTTCGCTATTCGATGTATAAGTGGATGCGAAATATTAAAATCTGATACTTTCTCAACATAGTTTTTTGACATAGCTTTTTATCGGCATTTTGCACGTAAGATGAAAAGATTTCATTCGCATTGATGCTGAGCCCAGTTTTTGCTGCAGTTGTCGATGTCTGGCATCTTTTGCAGTTTTGCAGTTCACCAGCTGATGTCTTTGATAGTAAACTTGCCTTGAGTGACTTGCCTTGAATGTCAGGTGTCTATCTATCGCGGTTGAGTAGAGGAAAGACGCGTCCCCACTTCTAATTTCGAAAAGATCAATCCCATATGTGTGGGCTTGTAGCGATGTACGCTGGTAAAATGCTCTTGGAAGTCTAACGATCTTTTCTAAAACAACATCCTTCATCCTCCAGGGTCCCCCTCTACCGTCAGTTGAACCAGTTGAAGGTAGGTGGAGAATTAATAAAGTTACTGAAGCGACGTTCCAGCACCATCCACCCTTACCGAGAATATTTTCTTAATACGCATGCCCCAGTCTGAATCGGGCTTGTTTAGCAGATCCTGACATCTCTTAGTATGATAAATCTTTTCAGCGGGAGGGAAGCGAGAAATTCTCAGAGATTTTTAGTACGTCTGTGTTTAGTGTGTGTATTTTCAAAGTAAATCCTGTTATCCTTTCTAAAGATTGGGGATATTACTTTATTCCATTCATCTATCCTTTCTTTCTTGCAAGAGATTTCATCCGCTGAAAATGAAAAGGATATTGGATAAAATTTGAAGATTTCAGTCTGAAAATCTAAGTTTCTGAATGACGAAAATTTACGGAGATTATTCTGTAAAAAACATTTTTATTTTTTTTCGTTTATTTCCGAATGTTTATTGCTGATTTTTGATGTTTTTAGGCAGAAAATGATCCAAAGATGATTAAAGTGACACTGGATCTGCAACAAGCCGAAAGTATTTTTCAAGAGTTGAATAAAGAATTAATTGATACATTGCCAGCAACTTATGACAGTCGAATTACATTTTTTGTGGATACGCTTCAAACGCTTTTAAATGCAGAAAATATCAACCATAATGAATGTGCTAAGGTAATTTTTGACAAGTTGACAAACTTTCTTTACCCTATAATGCTATTTGAACAGAATTAATTGTGAATGGCTACCTTTTCATTAGCTTGGTAAGCATAATTAAAATTTGATCGCTTACTTTTCTTTCATTTTTTATAATAATATTCATTAATAGATATTATTTTAGTGTAATAAAAATCTGGTTGAAATTTTGGATAGTCTATGTAATGCATTCGACAGTCTTAGAATGCAACGACATGATTCATCTGCTTCATCGCCAAATTTATCGGAAGCTAGAATGAATCAAGATTCGGAAGAAATTGAAAAACCTGTTCCGTCACCACGTAAACCATCTTCAGGTCAAAATGCAAATGTTCCCTTTGTTACTATTGAAACAGCTGAAAATGAAGTGGTTGAAAAAGCATTATATCCTGTTAGTTTTTTTTTTTTTTTTAGATGGCTGAAATTTAGTGTAAAAGTAGTTAATTTAATTATTTTTTAATGAGATTTCCATTTTTACTGTTATCATTTATATTATTCATTTTGATTATGCTTTTTTTATTTTTTTTCTAGACTTTAAATGTAGCAAATCCTGGAAAGCAACAGGAGAATAATGAGATGAAAGTGAATTCTGAGGAGCATAAGGATAAATCTGAAGATTTCGAAAGCGGTTCAGTAGATTCGAGAGAGAAATCAACAAATCCATTTGACGATTCTGATGATGATGCAGCAAAAGCTGTGGAAACTATAAAAATAGATGCCAGTGGTGCTAGCGACATTAAATCACGAAAAGTAATGTCTTAATTCGTAATTTTAATGAAATTAGGGAAATTATATCGTAATATCATGAGGAATGGGGAGTGGCGGAAAGGAAAAACGTGAAATTGTAGCCAAAATTTATGAACTTATTAACTATAGGAAAAGCATTAGAGTACATGGGCATTTTTTTTTTAAATTGTGTATAAATTGCGTATATTCGTAATATTTTTTTATAGGTGTTGTATAAAGTTCGAGCCACCCATAAATATGTCGCAGAAGATACTGATGAGTTATCATTTGATGCTGGTGAAATTATCTTCGTACTAAAATCTTGTGAAGAAGATTTGCTTGATGATGGTTGGTTACTTGGTCAAAAGCAGTCTGATGGAAGTCGAGGCGTTTTCCCTGCTAATTTTACAAAACCACTATAATTTTTCGGTTTTTTTCCGATAACTTGAAATTTATTTTATATAACTCATAGCATTTATTGCTGAATAATAAGATCTTATGCATATAAGATCTCTGTAAATGACAGCATTAAGAATTAAGAAATTTTAAATGTGATATTTTCATTAAACAGGTTTGTCTCTATGAAATTGTAGTTTTTAAAATCGTTTATATTGGTTTATACATATACATGTAATATATGCGTATAGAGTGATGCATTCTGTATGAATACATATTTTGTTTTAGCATTTATTTCCTGTGGGTTTTTTGCATTATTCAATCATTTAGAAAATAGAAGAAAGATGATGATTGGTGAAAAAAAGGAATGAAGAAAAAAATAAGAGGAGAGCAGAAAAAATTGCTCGATTTTCTTCTTTCACTTAATTCATATTTTTTTCTCAAGGTGAAACATAAATTCTGCTTGATTCAGTTCACTTTCACCCATAATCTTCTTTTTTCCTTGTTTCATGAGATGAGCTACCTTTCCTAGTTTGGAGTTAATTTTTAATTTGGGGCTATAGAAAAAAAAAGAAAAATAAACAACGAAAAAGAATGAAATGATCCCAATCATCGGATAGTGTTGAAGCATTGTTGTTCTTAATTTTAGTGTATTTTTCATATAATATTCGCATATATATAATAGTCTTCCAATTTATCACCGAATTAGTTTATATAATATTTCGCTTCGCTATTTTTTAAAAGTTTAATTTTTTTTTTAAATATGGAAGATTGCTCATAGTTTGGTTCATTTTCTTCCACCTACTGGAATCAAATTGGAATATTTGTAAATTTCAATATTTTTTAATTTTTTTCAGCATAAACGAATTCCGCAACAGACCACGTTCATTATTTTGCTAGTTCCATTTTGTTAATTTATTCTAAACCTTTATAATATTGTTTTTTTTTGAGTGAAAGAGAGACACCCCTTTGCAACTGCGAGAGGAAAAAGAAGGTACGTTGAAAGATATTTGGAAGAGGACGCAGAATCGGTTATCGGTTAAGTCATAAGTATCCATTGGCTTCATTTATATTTTTTTTACTTGTGATTCAAATTTCAAGATTAAATTCACATGTTTGTTTAAAAATATAATTTTTTTTAGCAACTTTAGTCGTCAACATTTATTTCATATCTATTTGTTCATTTTTGATTTTATACCGATGCATCCAAAGAAATGTTTTAGACTACAAGTAATATTACTGGTAATATTCGTTAATTTTGTAGTTTTTCTATAAATTTTTTATAAAATATTAGTTTTAAATATTGATGAATGGTTGGTCCTATATCTGGTTAGGTTCCGTTGGCTTTTGGAAGAAACAGCGGATCTCGTGGTCGCCAGCACCACTCAGAATGACAGGGTTACTAGTGTGGGGGAAGTGGGTCCTTTGCGCTACAGTACTATAGTCTGAGCCACTGTCCACTTCGCTATCCTATTTTTAAGAAATGTGATCTGTTGTGCATATTTGGTTCAGAAAAATAAATCTATAGCTGTGGAGAAAGAGTAATACCTTAGAAGAAATAAAAAAAAATTTGTGCATACGAATTTCGTTTTCCCACCGGGAATTCCTCAAATTTTTATGGATTTTTATTAAAAGTGACACTTTTTTGTTTTTTTGTGAATTTTGACTCACGATATTAATACATTTATAAATTCATTTGTTGTGAAATTGTGCCTTATTTCTGAAATTAGTAAAATTTTAGTTTTTTGTTCCATTTTTTAACTTTCGAAACACTTTTGGATTATTTTGACATTTTAGCACATTAAGGTAAATCGCACACCGTTCTCCATGGCGCTTCGTTTTATGCTTCTTCCCCGGTTCAAAAATTCTTTGGGAAAGCTGCAGGAAACGCGTTGGTGTTTATTTGTTATCAAATTTATGAGGCCGCGGCTGCAAGTTAGTTGTCCAGTGGTTTTAGCAGCTGAGTGGTTGGCAGCGGATGGAGTCTTGAGTTGAGCTATTTTGGGAGTTTGGTGATATTTTTTTCATTAAACGGTTTTTTTTTCATTTAATTGTTGTTTGATAAAGGACAAAACAAAAGCAGTGCGTATGTTCTCAGATAATTGCCGGGGTTCGAAACGACGCTTCTGGCAGGAGTAAGAAAATCCGAGTGGTGCCGTGGATCCACCTGCGTTGTGCACCAGGTGAAGTTTTCTGTTAAGAATCCCTTATCGCACCAACAGCCAATGGAGGAAATTTGAGCAGGAGCGGTAAGTTATGAACTATTGCTTCTCACTTATTACCGCCATATTAAAATGCATATTTGTTCATCATTTCATATTTTTAGATATATGAGATATTGAGTAATATAACTTTGTTAAATTTATATTCAACAATATAAGTTGAAATAATATAAGTTTTCCTGATGAATTTTTGATCGTTTATTCTAAGAAAATTGCACAGATAATGTCTAATTTATTTTAAATCCTTCTATGTTGTTATTAATCGGATTTTTATAAATTCTATTTATCCATTAATTTAGTAACATAGCTATTGATTACGGTTTAGAAGGGTAAAACAAGTTCTTTACCTGGTGGATATTTTAGTTTAGCATTTCGACCTAATTCATGATAAAGTAAAATTGTTTAATATAGATACATATATATATATATATGTGAAATAATAAATATCTAATAAATAAATATATATTACTTCACATATATATATTTTGATGTCTTATCCTTCAAGTGGTATCCTTATTTTATCCCTTATTTTAGAAAACGATTCAGTATAAGAGTTGATATTTCAAATTAGTATCCATCTCCGCAACTGGCCTTAGTGTCAAAGTTTGTCTCAGTTTTGTGCGAGAAAGCGCCTAAAAATCTGCTCATTTCCCAAGTTTGTTTAAAAGTTTATATTTCCTTATATTCTATTATATTTAATTGTTCTTTTCTAGTTGTACAACACTTACTGATAAAAATCATACTTCTAACTCATTTTTTTTTGGATAATTCTGGTGTATCGGTGGCTCAATGGCCATTGAGAATAAAAGCTTGGGTTCGAATCCGAACTTTGCACCATTCTTCGGGTGATACTGTCGGCTAATGGTGAACAATAAAAGGGGGGTTATTACTCAAATTCGAGGCGTCCTTGCTGAAATACTCCAGGCAAAAATAAACCTATCCAAAAGTTCGGTTAATGCTGGCGATTCATCTGTACTTCTATCGCTAAGGGATTCCCTGGCGCATCAACTGAGATAGGCCAGCGGAGGTAATCTGTAATTGTGAGTGTTCTCAAAAAAAGAGAATAGAGAATCAGTGTCTGAGGGAAACATTTAAAAAGATTATCATAATTTTCTATAATTTTCTAATGGCTGCTTTTAAAATAATATTAGAGGAGAAGACGTATGTGCGATCATTGTGGGGATCATTGTTCAAAGGTCGAGTCTACTCGTGGCACTTGCCCATTTTCATAGGTTGATAGAACAGTTATAAATATTGTCCATTGATCTGGCTGCAAATTCTGGTTAAATATTGTGTTCTGCGCCGTTGCAGTCATCAGTATTTATCAGCATCAATATTTATCAGTAATTTCGTGTTCTTTTCACGTCGAAGGATAGAAGGATTTGAAGTTAAGTGGTTGGCTTGCAGTTTGTCTATATATTTTACTACATGTGGAGATATTTCCTAGTTTTTTGGTCCGTAAATAATCTTACTTTTTGATGGGAAAGAATTATGCGTTTGACAGAGGAAGATATTAAATTAGTGATAAGAAACGGAGAAAAGAAGAAAAGAAGAGAAAAAAACGGAGTGAATTTTATTTTCTTGTTGTGAACCAGGTGATAGGAAGGTATCTTTGTGAAATTATTGATTTGAATCCAGTGGGAATGTGAATAACTATTTAATTTTAGATGTCGTTTAAAGTCATATTTTCTGGCTTCATAACTGGATTCGCAGATTCGATAGTTGGAACACTCGTAACGTTTTTTTATTATTTATTTTATCTTTTGCAGGCTATATAATTTTTTTTCAGTAAATATGAAGTGGTAAGTGTAAATTCATACATGTTATTTTTTTTTTAAATTTGTCTATAACAAATATTTATAAATGAATAAATTATAAATATTTGTCCAATAATATAAGTTTGCTTGTTCTATTAAAAATTATTTATGACTAAAGCAAAATTGGCTTTTTTCTTAAAAATTGTTGTCTTAAAAATTAGTTAAACATAGCACAAAGGGAACTTTAAGCATTAATTTCAATTTTCAGATTTTTTTAGAAAAACTATTATTATCACTATTATAAAAAATAAGCAGGTGGGGTTTAATGTTATTTGTTATGTTATATGTCTACTATGGCTTAAATTTTTGAATCACCTGCTTAATAAGAGTAAAAATAGGCTTGCTTTTCCGCACTTTTGTATAAAACTTTTATCCACAGCATTAAACTTGGGTAATTAAACAATGAAAAACAACACCAATAAAAGTGAGAAGAAATGAGAATTAAAAAATAAAATATTATAAGGAAATAAAAGTCTACACAAGAATAATAACAAAAATAACAATAACAAAATAACAAAAAGATCTTAGGAATATATCCAAGACAAATTTAGCAAAAATAAAAAAGAAATTAAAAAATGTAAAAATAATGAAATAATAAATATAAAAGCTCGTCACTCGGATTCCGATCCCAACAAAAATAAATCATTTGGCAGGCATAACGTCCTAACCAAATTAATTAATTAATTGAAAATTGCCATTTCCTTTTCGGAAATTAATTCAGGAAATCTAATTAATAAATAAGAGAATATGATTTGAAAAAAAAACTATAATAAAAAATTTCCCTGGCGGATCGAAATCATAAATTTAAAATATATATTGAATATATAAAATATATATTTGGAACAAACTTCACATTTCTCAACAAATTATAGTCATTAATTATTATTATTTTTATTATTATTTTATAATCATTATAATAATAATTATTATTTTCTATTGTTTTTATCATTATTATTTATTATTATTGTTTATATTTTTATTATTATTATATTACTATTATATCATTGATTTTTATTATTATTATTATTATTAGTATTATTATTATATCATTGATTCTTATTATTATTTTTATTATCATTTTTATTTTAATTATTGTAATTATTATAATTTTATTATTATTATAATTATTATTATATTATATTATTATAATTTTGTTACCATCATTATTGTTCATGATTGTTATTTATATTTTTTGTTACTTTTAATGTTGTATTGTAATAATTAATTATTATTATTAATTATTACTATTAATTATTATTATTAATTATTACTATTAATATTATTGTTAATTATTACTTATTATTAATTATTACTTACTGTTATCAAGGACCATTTATTATAAATTCGCAAACAAAGTTTTTAAACTTATTATACTTGTTAAAAATTAAATATTTCTTGTTTATTTTAAACAATTGAACTAAAAATTAAATAAAAAACAAAATTATTAAATTATAAATTACAGAATACAAACTGTTAAATGCACAAAATACCTTAAAATTTATTCCAAATTATAATAATAATTAAATAAGATTTAAATAAGATATAACCAGTTCTTTTTAGAATGGTCTTAAAATGATCTTATCAAACCGACATATGATAAAGGCGAAAGCGGATAAACATGAGGGCTGGTCCCGAAACAAGATATCAAATTCTTCAATATCTCACGGTGAATCGATTTATAAACGGCACAATAAAAGTTTAAATTTAGGAATGGAACAGCATGAATTTACGAATACATGCATAATAACCGATTCTGCTTTATCGTAAGTTTTGTTTCGAGCTCGAGATTTTCGTTTCTACTAAAAATTCTCATTTCTGTTTGGTCCTGAAACAATGTGTTTTTAGGCTTGCGAAATGTGTGGCAGCGAATTTATTCGTTGCTGTAATTTTTGTTTGGATTTTGTTACCAGTTTTATATTTTATTTCATCAATGTTTGCTTCGTCAAATGATGAACATTTTTCGCCGACAGTTTTTGGAATTTTATATTTTCATCTGCCACCGGTTATTGCTATACGATTTTTGTGCGCCTTATGGTTTTCAGATATAGCCAGTGATTTAATTTCTCGTGCTGGTTTCCAACCAACTCGATCTTGTACAGCTAGGTTAGTTTTTTAATTATCAAAATTGTGGAAATATTTGTTTCTATTTTGAAAATGTTAAAATTTTGGCGCGGATTCCTATGCAAGAAACAGATTTTAAAATTTCAGTTTTATTTCTTAATTTTAACTTAATTATTTCAATCAGTATTAACCGATTTGTTTTCTCAGTTCGTTTCGATAATTTTGGAAATTTAATTATTTAATTGGAATAAATGTGTAGCTTGTTCAAGACATTTAAGGTATAAAATAGCCGATGTGATTGTCGCTTTTATCGTTGAAGCGTTATTTTTTATTCAGTCATCGTTAGTTTCTTTAGTTTTTCCCTCGTTTCTTGGTTCTATTGCTGCTATGTTTCATTTTTCTCTTCTACATGCATTGTACAGGTTTTTACACTTTTCCTTATTGTTATTTTTTGAAATTTCGTTTCTAAATGAGTTAATTTTTATTTATTTACAACAGTGAATTATTCATGGATATTCGGAGAATGAATTGTTTCATTTTACAAAAGCTATTGGTTTAATGTTATCAGTTTACTTTCAGTTTCGAATATTTGTGGATGTTTCAAGGATACTTAATACAGCATCGTTTATCTATGATTGAACAAAACTGGCCGTACTTCCTAGGTTTCGGAATGCCTCTTACTGTTATCACCATGATATCCAATAATTTTGTCGTTAATGCGGCAATTTTTGGAATTTTCTATCCTTTATTCATATCTAGCAGTTGTATGGTACGCTTTTATTCGTTTCTCCTTATTTTCTAGTTTTAGCAATAGAATTGTCCTCTAATTTTCGTGAGCGAATGAGTATGAAAATCTAATAATGAAATATTTGGAATATAGTAAATTAAAAAGCTCATATATAAAAAAATAAAAATCCTAGATAATATAGGTTAAATAATTTGATTAACCAATTTTGCAATTTTTTATTTGTAAATATTCTTTTTAGGTCAATTTCGAGTCACGGTTTACAAGAAAAATAAAATCTTTCCCAATTTTTTTTGCATCATTTTGGCTAACTAATAAATTTATATCATTTCTTATGAAGATATTTGAATGTTTGAGGTCAAAATCGCGAACAACACCGACAGTTTGATTGGAGATTTTCTTTCATAGGCTTTAATTATTTTGTGTCTTCTCAATTATGTTCATTTTTTTTAAAACGTCTCTTCCATTTTAATTTAATTTAATCTTCCTGATAACATATAAAGTTTCTTTTCGTTCTGCAGTTTTATAACATAATTGACTTTTCTCGCAATCAAGAAGATTAAATTAAAAATTAAGCTGAAAAAGATATGCATAATTGCTTGGTGAATACGGCTGCAACACGAAAGATTTTCAGTTTTTTTTCCTATTGTCTTTTAAATATACGTAAATAAAATAATCTAGTTAAGCCAAAGCGATATAAACGATATAATTGCTTTACGATTACTTTAATTAAAAATCATTATGTTGAATGCTTGAAAATTTTTTAAATTAGAATCAGAACCGTATCTTGATTGAAGTAATATAACTGTGAGTCTTTCGACTAATTTTGGTATCATTCATTATCGTTTTTTATTTCTGTAATTTTATGAATATTGTTTAAGATTTTATTTTTTTTGAAAGATATTTATATAAAGCTATTTTTTGAACGGTGATGTACATATATTTTTCGATTTGTATATTGTTTCATTATATTAATCTTTTTAACCTTTTCTGCGACTTTTTCTGCGACTTTATCTTGTACAAAAAGTATTTTTTGATTTTCTTTTTATTTAAATTACTTCATTTTAATATTTTATTGATTTTTTAAAATAATATTGGTTTTTTATTTTTTTAACTTTTCGATATATCATTTCGAACTATTTGTAATTTTTTATATCAGTATTTGTTTACGTATTTCAAGAAAAAAATATTTGAACATTTTCCGTATGGTGTATGATTACTTCTAGATTTTTATAGATTTTATAAAACCTAAATCCTATAATTGTCGAAATATAAAAATTTTTTTTTAGAAAGCGATGTTTTAAATTTTTTAAATTGTTTTTATGAGCAAATTATGAGTTACTTTAAAAATAAAATTTCAAATTTATTATAAACAATAATTTTATAAATTTTCTTTATTATCCCCAATATATGATAGGTTTTTTTTCAAAATTTTATTTTATATGGATGGAAATAAATGATATGTTATCTTTATTATAACTACTGTTGAATCAAATACCTTTCAGGAAATTGCAGAAATTGCAGAAAATTGCAGAAATGACCATCTCGACTATCGAGAAAGATGAATACATTTGTAAAAATAGATACAATATATTTACAGAGCGGTACTTCTGGTTTTGTTCATCTGCAGTGTTGGCATTAAAATTTTTGTTCATACCTGCTTATCACAGTACGGATTTCGAAGTTTGTTGTCACTTTTAGTGTTATAATTTGGATAGTTACGCTAGAAAAATTTATTCTAAATTGAAATTAATGTTCAGTTGATTTCAACAAAATATGCGTATGAAATGAATTTTGTAAAGGTGAAAGTGGGTAGTAACCAAAATTTTTTTAAAATATCGGAGTTCCATTTCCTCAGAATGGAGTCGTTGAGAATCTTTTGTGTAATATTTTGCAGTGTTTCTTAGTAATTTTATCAGTTGCTATTTGCAGACAAAATTTCATGAGAACATAAGTTAATGTATCCATTCGCAGTAAAAAAATTTCATAAACCTAATTTCATAGCACTGTGAATCGTTCAAATATAAAATTTAGTATAAAAACGAAATGACTTATTGAGTTGTTGCTCTATCTTGGGGAGCTGACAGGGGTTCTACGCCGAGTTTTTCAAAAATTCGAGTGCTGATGATTTCAGCTGTGCTTCTGTCGCTAATTTTTAATTTTCTGGTAAAAATTTGTTTGGTCAGATAAAGCCAGCGGAGTGAGCCTAACGAGAAATAGCGCGCTCTTTTGGAAAAGAATGTGAAATTATGAAATTTAAATCTCATATTTTACCTACAAACTCATAAGCTAGAGCGCTGTTTTCAGATTTAAGTAGAGTAGCTAAATTTTATTTTATTTTTTCAAATCCCGCTCAAATAAATATGATACACATCCTTGGAGTTCTTAGTAATCTTCAGAATTTTAAAGGAGTCCTCGATCCTCGACTAGAGAACCTTAATAAAGATCTAATGATCTAATTTTCTTGTACGTCAACTCTCTAAGATCAGAGCAACAAGTTACTGTGCCATTTACTTTTTTATATTTATATTTTAAGCTGTTTAATTAAGGTTCATCGTAATTGGATGGCTCTAACCTATCAGTTACCACTCAGAAAGTGGTACTATGAAAACACATCTGAATGGACTCTAGATTATCCTCCATTTTTTGCATATTTTGAGTTTCTTATCTCTCAGGTGAATATTGATGAAATACTTGTAATTATAAATAGTAAATAATGATGCAAATAAAAAATTCATTATAAGCGATGGATATGAGCTGAGAAAAGAAAGATATATTAATTTTTCTTCACTTTTCCTGAGAACATAATAATTAAAATTATTAGCTGACTCTAGGCAAGTTTATTTTAAGACTGTGACCTAATTATGTGAAATGATTGAAATTCAAAATAAGTGCAAGTGCATCATCGAGGTAGAATATAGGTAGAATTTTTTCAGTTTGCTTCTTTTTTCATCCCATCGGCTTTGGTCATTCAACAGAAACCATTTTTTTCATATGAATTATTACTGTTCCAACGAATCACCGTTATTGTATCGGATTTTCTTTATGTAGGCTCAGTTTTATTATGTTCATTTTTCTTTTTTTTTCTGTTTCTGGAAGATGTATGGGAAGAATTATTTACGGTTAAATGAATGTCCTTGAATTAAAACTCATTTATAGATTATCTCGTGTGGTTTTTTGGCAAACTCAATTGTTCAGTTGCAATCGAAGAAGTCCAGTGCAGGAGCATGTTGCGTTCTATTGATAACAAATTCAACGCTTATTATGGTTGATAATATACATTTCCAGTATAATGGCATTTTAACTGCATTTTTTATCTTTTCATTTAATTTTGCCTTGAATGGTAGTTTTCTTATGGTATGTTTTGATGAAAATTTTTTGCTATTCATCGTAAAATGTCCATGATTAGGATTTCTCGAAGATGCTACGGTGGTAATTAGTACAACAACAGTTTTAATATTTCATTCTTAATTTGTGATTATGGTTTAAGTAATATTTTTAGACGATTATTACGATTCAAATTGCTTGATGTAGAGAACTATTTTTGATTATTCAACGAAGTGTTTGCGCAGTCGATGTGCTGGAAACTACTTTAGGAAATAAATAAATTAAATAAATAAATAAAGAAATATTACGAAATAAATAAATAAAAAATAAATAAATAGGAAATAAATAAGAAATTTATTAATGGAAAATTATCGAAAATTTTTTAGGCAGCAGCTGTTTATTGTTTTCTTCTTAATATGAAGCATATTTATTTGTATTACTCATTGGCATACGGCATATTTTGTTTTACGCACTATTTGCTCGATTTCAATCGTTTCATCCGACGATGTTTATGCTTATTTTTTGCGATAATAATACCATTTCTCTTATCATTTGGTTAGTTTTTTTTTATATTATTTGATAATAGCTGATTCAGATCAATTAAGCCTTTAATAGTCCACAAAATTGTTGTTTTTATTTTCTTAATATGAAACATATTTATTTGTGTTACTTATTTGTATACGCCATATTTTGTTTTATCCACAATTTTATTTATGTTTTATAATAATATGTTTAAGAAAGAATCGATTTCAATTTTATTTATGTTTTACAATAATATGTTTAAGAAAGAAAAGTTTCTTGGAGAACTTTGTTAGGAGTACATATGCACACATGCGGTTTTAGTCAATGCAGATGGTTCAATAATCCAAGTATTTCAGGACCACTTTTATATAAGGGTGGTATAAAACAGTTGTCACAAGTTATAGCTCGTATGTTCCCATTCCAACGTGGCTTGACGCATGCATATTGGGCACCTAATATATGGGCAATTTATAATCTTGTTGATTTGATTTTATATCGGCTTTTGAAATATTTTCATTTCATTGCAAATATACCACCGCCAAATTATACATTAGGCCTAGTTCAGGTTTTTTGTTCATTCATGATTCATTTTTTTAAACTTTTTTTTCGTTTATTTCGCTTTTTCTGAAATTATTTGAGCTGCTAAAGCTGCCAAAAAAAAATTAAAATTTACATCCCTTCTTGAAGGTTAAAAAGTTTTCCAAAAATATAGCAAAAATGTAGTTGCGCTAGTTATAGCGTGGATTTTAAGATGATTTAAAAAGGAAATTTCATTTGCTGGTTAGAAAATTATCTTATATCTAGCTTTATGTAATCTTATAAAACCAAAATAGATTTTCCTTTTCCTCCATTTCATTTGTTCTGGTGGCTCTATATGGAGTCAGTTTAGCGTAAGTTTGTTTGTGCTTTCGTTTTCCATTTTCTTTTCCGTTTTCCTCTATCTCCAGTTGCCGTGTTTTGCCTAATTATCGTAAAATTTCGTTTTATTTTTGCATTTCCTCCTGATCATACAATTTTTCTTTTAACAAGCGAACTAACTGGCTCTCTCAGATAAGATGAAAATACTAAATTTGGTTATAATTAGTTTTCGGCTGGTTTCAGGAATTTTCGCATGCGATTCTTCCATCGATCAGCGCATCGACTTCCTTAATTATTATTTTGTTGTTATTTTCACCATGTCTACTTCTGTTCATGTCAAAGCGATCGTATAATTTTCCTCTATTACTTACTCACTCAGCTTTCGCGTTTTTTCTTGCTGGTTATCATGTTCATGAAAAAGCTATTATTTTAATTATTATTCCTTATACGATTCTCGCTTTTTTAGTAGGTATTTGGATGTATTTTACAAAATTTGAATTATAATGCATATTTATCTATTTCCATTTTCATTCCAAAATCCTTATTTGAAAATTCTTAACTAATTAAAAATTAAAAACTGTAATAGAAAAATTCGAAATAGTGAAATTTTTTATTGAAACTGTGAGATTTAAAAAATCTTTAAAAAACTAATTTTCTTTAAATTAACTTTAAGGACAATCGTTTCTTCAGTTCTCTTCCTTTATTATTAACAACAGCAAATATTTCGATTTTCCCATTGTTTTTTACTCCATTCGAAAATTTGATCAAGGTTAGGTTATATATTTATCTGATGATTTAATGTGAAAATTTTTAAATTAGATCAGAAACTTATTAATAGATTTTAATAGATATATTAATGAGGTAATGAACAAATTCATTAATAGAAATTTATTTTCATTTTTATTCCAAATTTAATAGCTGGTTTTTTAGTAAACATTTTTTCATTTGTTCACTTTTTTGCTGAGAAAAAATTAGATTTTGTGAAAAAAAATTTCATTTTTTAAATGAGATGCAGCTAGGAAGTTGTAAAATATTATAAGTATTAGATTAATTAATTATGGCCGATCGTTTTAATACTTCTGCCTTTACTTTTACTCTTTTTTCTTTTCTTACTTATCCAAAATTTTATTTTATAATTTTTATGGCATCTAATTTCTTTTTAGATTGTTTTGACATTTTTCTCGTACAATTTCTCGAAGCTGGTTATTTCGTCAATTCATCTTAAGAGGAGGATTTCTTTGCAAGAGTTTTATTTATTGTTGTTGTTTCTTCTTCAGTTTTACTGTTTGGTTTTGCATTCTGTTAGTATCTATTACTTTATAATTTGTATTAAACTGATTGGTTACCATATGGGTTTGATTGGATATTGATCAATTCTTTGGTCCTTTGATTATATGAGAAAATTGAGACTTGCATATTTCATAAAACTAGGGGGGACAAAAGAGCATGCATGATGTTGCCACTCGTAGAACGTAATCGAATTCTGTGAATATCTTCTATCAGTCGACAAGATGTGAATGCAGACTCGAAAATTTTAATTTTATGAAATATTAAAAAAAATCTTTTTTATTAAAAAAAATTAATTTTATTAAAATTAAAAAATTTTATTAAAAAAAATCCAAGATAGCTTCCACTTTAAATTAAACATCTGAAAACTGTATAATAACATTAGATTACCTCTAAGATAGAAGTAAATCCATGCCTTTCGGCCATTCAGTGGCTTGGATTAGGTCCAACCGTGCGCAGCTCATTGAACAAATTAATGATTTACCGATTTTTATTTACCTGTTTTTTTGTTTGCATTATTTGCATTTGCATTGCATTATTTTCATTTTTTAAAAGATTGGTTAATTTTTCCAGATTTTATTCGATAATCATTTTAATTTTGTGCCCTTGATGATCACTTCTGCTTCAACAGCTTTTGTTATTTTTTGGATTTTCGCTGAACTGGTATGGATCGCTTATATCGGCTAATTATCTCTATAAGAAATTATAATAAAACCAGTGGCAAGTATCCTGTAAAGTCATTAATTTATTATTTATGTGCATTTATAATTTTTGATATTTTCTGCGGTTATTGGATATGGTTACATTTGGAATCATTTGAGTGCTATTATTTTTCATTATTTATTGCATTAATTTCTTGTGGATTAACGCATATGTTGCGTATATACACTAATAAATAAATTTTTTTTCATTGGCACTTTATGGTTTTGTCTTCGCATGTAAATATTAAAATGTTATTGTTTCCTTCAGCCCAAAAAATTCAACCTCTGCATTTGTTTTTTTCAACCGCGCACCACTCAGGGAAGTACAAATTTTCATTTTAGCTTATTTTAGGTAACGTGTACGGCACATGAAATTCGATGATTCCACACAGGTACGACTAGCGGTTGCCCAATTATGATTAATGAACTCGAGGGGGTGGAGGGCGCAAAGTTCGAAAGTGATTGGCCAGGGAATAAGATGCCAGCGAGCCGCTATAATAAATACTCATTGCGAACAGATATAAGAGGTGCGGAAGGTGCGTTAGCCCCTCTTTCTATCTCTCTTCATTTTCTTCATTTCTTTAACGACCTCTTCTACGATTATTATTTATAGCTACTTGACCGTTATTGATTGCACCTGTTTATCATTCCTCGAGGCGTTCACTGAGTTGCAGTCTTTTTGATTTGCACTTCTGCAGCCCATCACTTTGTGCAAATTTACGGTTCATGCACTTCCATTTCTGCACTTGCACTTGTCCACTTTCAGCCAAACAAAGTCGATGCCAACAGTTATTATACGACTTCGTATGCATTATTTTTCAAGAAATGAAAAATAACGCAGCGGATCACGCTTAATTTAAGTGCTATGATTTAATTTGTAAGGGAAAACCGCTTTCAGTTCAAAAAAAGAACCACTGGCGATGGGAATGGTCTAAGGTAAAAGTGTGCGGATTTATACGAGCACGCTTCATCCTGCACTACTTCCTTTACCACGTCCAATCAGCACGATGATCGCAATACACCCGCTGCCGATGCGAAGGTGAGAATCTCTGAAATTCGGCTTCATATCGAACAGTCGGCGCGGCTTCGCGAAAATTGTATTGAATTGAAAAGTTCTCGTCGCTTAGCAAATTTTTCTTAATCGCTTTTCGCATTTGTTTGTTCAGTTTTATTAATTAAATTAAAAATTTAGATTTTTGGAATTTTAGAGTTTCTTAGTTTCAAATTTGGATTTTCCATAGATTTTTGCTTGTATTAGTTTTGTATTTCAAAAATGCTTAAGTTTTTGTTTTTATAATTAAAATTTTAGAAATAGTAAAATTATGGAATTTTATTAGTGAAAATTAAGAATTTCCTTCTCCAAATACTAAAATGTCTCTTTTGAATTTATTTTTTGAACAACAGAATTCGCTATAAAAAAAGTTGAATTAAATTTATGAAAAGGGAAACAAACGAAATAGAAAACATTTATTTATACGAAAGACTTTCGCTTAAATCGATTGCAATTTCGAGGACTTTTTTCGTATTTCTTACATCGAATTTCATCGAATTTCGTCTTTAATACTTCGATTTTCGCACTATTAATGTTAATTTTACGCATTTTCCAGATTGAGGGAATTTTTTGCGCAGAACTCGAGAATCTCGAGAAATTATCATCATGTGTTATATTTCTACATGTATTTTATCATTTTGTGCTTTACTGCAATTTCACCAGATCAGTGGTTTCTTTTTTCGTTTACTTTTATCGCATATAGTTTTTTATTATATAACCCACTCGTCAAACCAGAATCGCAGCTTTTGATCTATTTCTATAGATTCTTTTAGATTATTTCGTTAGGTGGTCGTTTAGTTTTAGAGATTCATTCACGAAATTTGGTTGCCTGTGAAAATGAATGGAGGAAAATTTGCACTTTTGTTATCAATTGAATGGAATTCTGAATTCTGACCGCTGAATGGAATTTTCTTCACTTATGAATTTAAGCAATAAAACCTTAGTAGCAATATTCCGCCACCAACAGGAATCACATAGGAGATTTTCATACCGCATTATTTCTCCGTATTTGTACTTCCGTATTTTATGCATTAAAGAGAAGGGGTTTGTGGTTGTTCGTGTGTCCGATGTACTGGATCGCTTCAGTTGCCAGAGAGGTCCATTACATAGAAATTTTTTTCGATTTTTTGAATTCATCATTCTTAGTAAATCATTTTTTTAGATTCAGTAAACGGCCCGTTAATACTTAGATTTAAGTGTGTTAGAAGTTCTTTTAAAATTATTTTTAACATTTTATATTTTTGAAATGTTTTATGTTTGCTTCATTTTGATGTTCATTTTGCAGGTGATGATAGTATCAAATATGATTTCAGTTCAAAAAAAATAGTTCTGTTAAATACGAGGAATAAGCGCAACATTGGTGATGATTATGATGATATGGAGAAAACTTTTCGTATTCCTAACGATGTGGAAATACAGAAAGATACTGTTAGTTTCTTTTTTATGGTTTCTTTCGGGCATATTTTTCCCATTGCTTATTGTTGTTATTGGGGCTTTAGATTCTAAATTTTTTTTTCTATTGGCATGGAACTATCCTTAACCTCATGGGACATTTTTGGAAGGCTGGTGATTCCTATTGAAGTGATCATGATTTTTATAGATTGATCATCAATATTATGTAATGGAAATTTATACGAATAGGTCAGAGATGATGAAGGATTATTATATTGATATATTGGAAATGTTAGAAAAACCGGAAACTGTTGGCAATAAAAGTCATCCACTGTTATCAAATAGTTATAGAAGAGCCGTTGTCAGTAAATGATTATCAATTAAATTCCGCTGTGATAAAAAAGAAATAATATATCATTGTTTGTTTACTGAAATATGATTTATGGCTAAAATTGAAAAAGTTATTCTTAAAGTTTTTCAAATTCTGTCCAGTAAAATATTATTAAATATAAAATATTTCCATCATTTCGAGATTATATTAAGGCTGCACGAATCCAATTCGATTTCCCATTTTATGGTCATCGCATGAGGAATCTAACAATTGCTACTGGAGGTATGCTTCAGAAATTGCATATTGCATATTCGAAGAGATTTTCGAAAAGAAGAGATATTTTCCAGTCTTTCTGAAAATTCTGGTCAAATTCACAATATCTTTTAATACACTCATATTAATACAGTTTTACTTTATCAGTTTTAGATTAAATTCAGCAGCTTTTTTACATGTTATAGGTTTTGTATATATTGGAGATCAGTCTCACAGTTGGCTTGCTGCGACTCAATACATTGCACCATTAATGGCGAATTTCGATACTCATGACGCGAAGTCAACCATTATGTATGCAGATGATGGTAAAAAGTTTGTGATTGAATGGCGAAATTTGCAACTTCGAGAGCAACGATCGGGTAATCCATTTTATGAAAAATTCTTAATCTTAAAAAAAAAAATCTTATGAAAAAGACTTCTAACAATTAATAAAGAAATCAAGCTTTATTATACTATTAATTGTATAAAACCATTAGAACGTTTTTTGATGATATTTTCATGTTTTTATGATTTTCAGAAGGCTTTTTTATCTTCCAAGCTTCATTGCATAAGAATGGTGATATATGGTTTGTTTACAAAAATGTTAGTATTTCGATTTTATTGACTATCTGTTCTTATTTTTCTTAAATTTTATGATGTAGTCAGGGCAAAAGATAAAGGTATTTTTTTGAAGTATAACAGTTTAAAGTCAGACTGGAAGTGATATTTTTTTCAAATCTAAGATCGAGAATAGAAAAATTTATATTCAGCAGCGGATTGAGACTTTACACTTTTCATCAAATGATGTCAAATATATTTTTTTCAAAGTTTATAAAGTAAAGAAAATTTTTAAAGTTTCTTAAGTTTTAAATTGACTTGGGAGAGTTTGTAGTCAAAAATCTTGTTTTTTTGGATATTAAATCTTGCCGTTTTTCGTTGGAAAGGTATGGAAAGCCATTTCACTTCTTTTTTTAAGATTCTTCTTTTCTTTCTTCTATTTGTGAAAATAAGTGGCTTGTACAATTGCTGATTTTTCTTACCTCTAGAATAAATGGGGAGATTAGGGTAATTTTCAAGCTTTAAAGTAGAGTTTCCAAGCTTCCTGATCCAGCTTCCTATTTGTGAAAACAAATGAAACCACTTTTTTCCACCTGATTCTGGCATATTCAGTATAGAATTCAGCGCAAATAGCGAAATATGCATCAGTTGCTGTGGTGGATGATGAGGAACTTGGCCAGCGTAAACGGCGCTTAAAGTTTGATAATTCCTGGATTTTGAATTTATAGAAATTGTGGCCTGATCAGTATACAAAAGATATTTCATCTTTCCGCTGTTGCTTTCCTACCTACTATTGTCTGTTTCTGGTAATTGTTAGCGAAAAAGACAACACCATCAGCATATCAGCATATTGTACACATATATAGACTGTATATAGATTGACTTATACTTCTCTTGAGTTCTGGCAAGTGGATCATGATATATCGCAAAGATGAAAATTATTAGGGAGGGGACAACCTTGACGCATCCAAGTATTTGAAAAGGTTGTATTAATTTCTCATAAACCTATGCTGATACTCCTATAAAATGATAAATTTTGTAATTAAATCTAATTATCTGGAAGACTGTCTTGTTTACTGTGACTTGCCAGAGCCAGACCTGATTAAATCAAAAGCAATGGATAAGTCGAGCAGCATGTAATGTTGATATTTGGAGCTTGTCGTGCAACGAGTTTTGAAGATTTAGATTTTTTCGAGGTTATTTTCGAGATTTGTTTTGAGGTTATTATTATTATTGTTATTATTAAAACAGTATTATATTTCAGATCCCAATTTCAGTTGAAAATATTAGTGATTCTCATCATCCAGTAAAGCTTGGAATGAGTGACGCTTATCTTTTCCACCATAATATACATAATCCGTTACCTAATATGGCTCAGACACGTATCTTTTTATTTTTCGTTGCATTAATTTTCTGTCGTTTATGAGATCATTTAAATGGTTTTATCATTTTCCCATTTCCCTTTCCAAGTTTTTCAGGACTTTGATTTTTATTTCCTTGTTTAATATTTCATATTAATAATATATAATATATTAATTTAGCTTCTATAAAGCGCGTAATTTATGAATATCATCGAATCGAAATTCAGCCATCAAAAATTACATCAAATACTATCGTATTAATCAAGGCTCAACCAAGTTGGTTTTCGTTATTTGAAAATTTTGTCGATAAATGGCATGGAGATTTTTTGATCTTTCTTATATTATTTTTGATATTATTTTTTTTTAAGAGTATCACCACTGCTAGTTCGACTTGCTCCACTGGCTTGTAGGTAAATGTGCCAGAGAGTTTGCTGACAATAGAAGATAAGTAGATAAGTCACCAGTATCGAATCTTAGTTTCGGCGCTCCGAATTGAGTAATAACCGTTTTATTTCTTTTATTTTCTCCTTCAAGCGACAGTGCTGCTCGACAAAATGTGGTGTATCAGCCATATTTGAATTCAGGCTTCGATTCTTGAAGTCTTACCACTGACCCACCAACATTTATTGCATATTTTTGGCCAATTTTATATTTAAGAATTGATTTTTTATTCTTCAAACTTTCAAATATTATTAATATTCTTAGCTTGTATAAAGTTCCGAACATGCGATGAATGTTCTAATGCTACTCTTAAGCATTTCAATTGTTCTTGGTGTCACACAAAAGCGAAGAATGGCGGACCGTTTTGTTCAGACCAAGCTGGGTAAGAAGTTTGTCAATTACCATTATCTTGAAGTCTTACCACTGACCCACCAACATTTATTGCATATTTTTGGCCAATTTTATATTGAAGAATTGATTTTTTATTCTTCAAACTTTCACAATCTTGATATTTCTTAATACATTCTTGACAATATAATGTAATATAATTAATTAATATATTAATATCACTAATTCACAATCTTGATATTTCTTAATACATTCTTACAATCTTGATATAATTCACAATCTTGATATTTCTCAATCACAATTTTGATATTCACAATCTTGATATTTCTTAATACAATCTTGACAATATAATGTAATATAATTAATTAATATATTAATATCACTAATAATTAATATCACTAATAAATATCATTGCAGGAGCCTTTTTAGTTTTATTAGTTTTATTCCTCGGTTTTATCGTTATCTGTTTTTTTCTGTTAATTTCTTTTTTTATTAGATTTTTAGTTCAGTTGATTTTTCAGATTACATCGTAGAAGACAACAGTGGATTGAAGGAAATTGCAAAGATAACGGAAAAATAACATATTGTGAACAAGGTGAAGATTACAATGAGATTGAAGAGAGCGATGATGACAAAAGTGCAGAAAATTCACCTGGTGAGTAAAACCAATTTTTATGTGCATATTTTTAATAGGGGTCGAAAAGTAAATTTTGCAAAGCCGAAGGGTATAAAGAACCGAAGGCTGAAGGTTTTATGGTAGAGCAAGTAAAACGTTAAATTTTATCAAAATTTCAATACTGTACACGTATTAAGCACATGTTATACTTAATAAATTTTTAAATAAATATTTTCCAGAAAACTCAATGTTTTTGCATTTTTGGGCACTAAAGATGCTTGTTAATTTGGATAATATCTCTTGTTTTTTTTTGATGCCCATTTGGACAATAGCAAGTTACTTTGCTGAAAAGCTTCTGGCACTTTTGTTGTAGATGTTACCAAATGTTTTTTTGACTAATAAGCTTTCATGGCAAGTGTACCAACTCAATGGAATTCTCTCTTTCATAATGACTGCTTCTATCCATGTGGACTGAGTAAATAAATTCTCATGCTATAGAAGTTTTAAAGCCGAAGAAATATTTTTAGCATTATGTTTTTGATATTTGATTAATCTTCTGCGTATGAGGAGATATAATTTGGTAGGTTTGGGATTAGCCCAATGTTTACACGGAGACTTAGGCGAATGCCAACGTTTAGTCCGAGGATTGGCCAAGAATTTGGCTTTGGCCAAGGCTTATGATTGGAACAAAACAAATTTCACTTAATTCTGTGTAAGCAGATCATCTTGAAAGTAAATTTCTTAATTTGCTTGATTTAATGCGGTTTTTTCGAAAATAATTAATCGGTAAAATATTTTCTGCCAATATCAATATATCAGAAAGGTTCTAGCATTTTCTAGTACTTTTATTCCCAAATGTCTATCTGTTGATAAAGCTTTATTCTAATCAGATATAATAATTCATTTTTATTATTCATCTTCCATATTTTTGTTCTTGAGCTAATGACACTTGTCAAGCAGACATTGACATCTGCCACATTATAATAATAATTAATAATTTTCATCTTTCGAAATCTTCGGTTTTCGATTGCAATTTTTTATTTAATTTGATCGTATCTTCTCTATGGTTCTGATTTTTAATGAAACATTTAAAAAAAAATTTAGAGCAAATGCATGAAACTCAATCTCCTTCAGAACCTGACCAAGTAGTGCCGTGGGATCGCAACAAACAAATTGAGAACACTGTGAAAACTGAATCAGATGGTAACTTAATTTCTTTTAGCATTACTTTATCATTGAAAACCTGTTTTGTTGATTTGAAATAAATCATTAAGTTTTATTGCGCTTGCACATCGTTTTGCTTCATTTTCAATTTAAATATTTATTGGAGAGAAATCAAGAATTTTTTCTTGCAGATTTCGAAAATAGTGCAAAAAGTGGATTTTTATCATTATTTGTGGCACTTATCGGTGTTTTACTTATTATCAGTTGGGTCATTTATGCTTATTATAATCCACACACTCCATCTGGACAATTTTTGATCAGAGTAATCATTTTTCGTGTGCATATATTTCTTTTTTTTCTTTTAATGTCTCGTGCCTTTGCTGGTTTGGTTCTCTTTTATGACAACAATGATAAAACCAAGCTTCCCAATGCGAGACCATTCTTAGAAATATTTGAAACCTATTTTTCTACCCTTGTGCATTCAAAATCTTTTTATTTAAATTTAAATTTTAAATTTCACGTATTTTTCATCTGACATATTTGTTTTCTAATTTTCAGTATCGACCTTCACGTTGGCACATGCCATCGAGCCATGTTCGTTATAGTGCTTCTGTACATATGTGATTTAACGGTGAAAAACATTTGATCAAAAGTTGTTCTCATTTTTTGAGGTGGATTTGATATTGGTAACAAGTATAAAAAATTATTCTAAATTTTATATAGTCCAATGGCCTCATTTCTTTATTTTTTTCTGGTTTTGTGGTTTAAAAATTTTCCACATTTAAAACTTTATATAGTCCAGTAGTTTATTTCATCTTTTCAATAAAGTTATTATTTCATAATTTAATATTTTTATTTTCATTTATTTTGCCTCAGTTATTTATGGTTACTTATCTTATGTTTATAAATTTTATTTTTTATCTATAATTTAATGTCTGTGTATTTTCTGAATGTATGGTTTCACATGGTTAACTTTCCTTCATTAAAAGGAGCACGCATCTTTGTTAAATAATAAATCATATGCCATTTTGACATACGATCGGATTATCAATTATCAAGATTATCAAAATTTATTGTTACTTGCTATTGATCATTTGCTTTTTTTCCTTATAATTTAATAAGATCATCTAATCTACGTTAGGGTTTTTTACTTATGTATCGATCTTTTTTATCTTCTTTTGCATATAGTTTCATAATTACTGGCAGAATTACAAATTTTTGGCCAGATGTATTCATGAATCTCGCATTAGATTGTTTTTCATTTAATTTGTTATTGATATTTTTTATATGTCCATCTCCATTGTTCCGTCTCTCTGATAATCAAATCAGTTATCTTTATTTCGCCTTTATTCGTATTTGAATTTAAATTATATATATATATATAATTTATCATTCAGTACTTTAATGATTTACTGGAGGAATCTAATTTAATTTATTGTTTTGAAATTTTTTGTAATTAGAGAATGGATGAAATTTTAAAGAGATATTATATCAACTGTTTCATTAAAAGTCAATTTTATTTTTATGCATTATTCAATTTATAATTTTATGTTTGATTTTTATTTTATTAGTTTTTTTATTTTTCAGTATTAGGAATTTTATGGTTTTCTTAATATATCTTTTCAAATTGTAAATTTAAATTTCAAATAAAGTTTATAATGTTTTGCGATGTATATTGCAAACGTCTTTTTATTATATCGATAAGTTTTATTTATAAGCAAATTATTGAAAAACTTATATGTTTTTTTTTCAATATTTCAGATCTTAATGTATGTATTCAGAAATCGCGTAAGAAAGTGTTTACCTATTAAGGAACGAATCCAATGCTTCATGCCACCCATAGGTTCTCATAATAATAATGTTCGTTATTTCGCAGACCGTACTGTTAATTCGCAAAATGATTTATCTAATGGGCTTCTGCATTTTATTAAGGTTTGTTACAGTTTGTTGCATCATATTAATGAATTAAAAAAGGTTTGGGTTTGCCAATAAATACGCCTAATTTTATTGAATTTGCTGAACTATGGTTTGCAAATATTAAATTTCTGGATGGAAATCTGTGGAGTATTTGTGCAGTAATTCGAGTAGTAATTAGGTCCGGAAAAGCTATCGAAAAATCGCTACTGTGTCTAGAAATCGATATATTTACCTAGCACTCGCTTGAATCGCTTAATTCACTGTCCAAGGGTCTTTCCTTCTCAAACCTCTTAATATCTTATCCCTTATTCTCGCATAATTCTCTCCAATTTCTAACCCCTTTGCAGTCCTGGAGTCCTCTTGTGATTGTTTAAAATGGCACAAATTCTCCCTTTTCTATGAAAGTAATTAGATCAAACAATGGGTCCATTAGTTCAAGTTCTGACCATGCACATTCTCTTTTCCTATCTTATTGATGTAGAATCTGCTTGCGCCTGAAGTTTAGGATTTTTATATAATATATAATTTTTATATAATAAATATTCTTATCTGCTAGCTTTTTCTCATTTTTTTACTTCTGATCAAATTTTTGCTTCTAATTTTTTTGTATGTCAGTTAATAATAAATATTGGAAATTACAGCAAAAAATACGTCTAAATGGTCCAATTACAGTGGCTGATTATATGCGAATGACTATATCATTACCTATGTCTGGTTATTATCAGCAGTTTTCGAATAATCACGAAATCTTTGGTCATAAGGGTGATTTTATTACAGCGCCTGAAATTAGTCAGCTTTTCGGTGAGATGATTGGTGTTTGGTGTTACTACGAGGTAGGGAACGCAGGTTTGTAATTCCTTTCAGTAGATTTGAGAGTACATTGCAAAAAAGATTTGCCAAAATAATTTTAAATTTTGAATAATATCAATAAAATTAAATCATTAGAAAGATTTATTTGGTATGGATAATTGTTAATAAATCCACATCGAGTTTTAAATAATATTTTTTAAAAAATAAAACAATACTGGCAGTACTGGCTTATTAATTAAACATTGTTTATTAAGGAAGTAAGAATAGAAAACAGGCGTAGAGTAGAGTAGAGAACTAAGGTAATGAATGGAAGCTTATTGAGTCGAATGAGAACAACTTCTTAAAGTGTAAAGTGTAAACAGCTTCGTTGGCCTGGTTGATAAAGGAGACGAAGACTAGTAGTAAACGAAATTGTCAAATGAAGAATGACCATAATTAACATATTTTGTTCTTTTTCTTTTTTACTTTTAGGTCATAAAGGTGAGTGGCAACTTGTTGAATGTGGACCTGGTACTGGTCAATTCATGAATGATATTTCAAGAACATTAGATCGTTTTAAAGTATCTTCTTACTTCATTTTTGATAGCGCTTTTTCTTCCTATAACAATTACTACTTCTGGTTCCACTGACAGATTCGATAAAATTCTTCACGAAAAAGTTCACTCGATTATAGAAGTATTATTCGATTCATCCCACAACCATATTTCATTTTCCATAATAAAGATTTGCATGATATGTTCCACAGCCTTCAAGAAAACACCCAAATCTTGACGCATGAATCTTTTGAGTTGGAGCATCATCTTTTTCCTTTTCATTATTATTTTGATTCAGGATGAGAAATTTTTGGCAGGGATCTTTGTGCGGTGAAAGACGAGTTGCTAGCATTGCTTGGTTTTTTGGTGATAAATTTGCCCCTCTCAGAGATGACATTCGAACCCTTACCTCTCAATACAACAATCTGAAACACCATCTATTTGGCCCTTTTGCTCCTATTTCAGAAAACAATTTATAGGAAAAGAAGTTTTCTATCCATCTCGTCGAAATATCGGATTCTTTGATAAAAAAACAAGAGAATATTCTTTGCAACTCAATTACTAATTATATTGAAGGACATCCGTATATCAAGTCTAACATAACGAAATACGGGATTCCCATCTTTTGGTATCGATCAGTTGATGAAATTCCCACGAAGGTAATGAATATTTCATTTAGTGTGAGTAATAAGTCAAGAGCTATGGCTATGGCTTTAGCTATTTAGACTATTCTTTTTCTCATTTGGTTGTTTTTGTTCAAAAAGCTTAAATCATTGATATTATTATTATTTCAGTTTTCAGTTTTTATTGCGAATGAATTTCTTGATGCTTTACCAATACATCAGTTTCAAAAAGATGATGTTGGTCAATGGCATGAGATTTATATTGCTTTGAATGAGAATGACCAGTTATATTTTATGTTATCAAAAGGCGAAAATTTGTATACAAAGTTAATTTTATTATTAATGCACTTTTTATTTATTTTATTTATTTTTCTATTCCTTGAAGTTCTACGATGTTCTAAGCTTTTTAAATTTATATTTATTCTAGAGGTCTGATTCCTGAAAAGGTTCGACGCGATCATAAGCGAACGGTGTGGGAACTGTGTCCTGATGCATGCTTATTTGTTAGCCAAGTATTTATTTAGTTGTTTTTGATTTTCATATCAATTTTTCTCAACCATATGGCATGCTGTAATTACTCGAATTCGGAAAAATTGTTTAATCAGGATCATATTGTCTAGAAGTTGTAACAGTTGGAATGCCGTAAATTAGAGGTAGATGGAGGAAGCAAAATGAATCTCTGTGGGTCTTTACCTTTATATTTATATTACCCTTTTTGTTACCCTTTTTTAATTTATATTTACCCTTTTTTTTAGCAAAATTTTATACTTTCTTTAGAAAAAGAAATATGAGTTAGAAATTCCCATTTTCAAAATTTTCATTTGTTAAGATCGCGGAAAGAATCACTCAATATGGCGGTATTGGTTTATTAATTGATTACGGTCATGATGGTCAGCGGTCAACACTGTCCCTTCGTGCTTATAAAAATCATCAATTGGTCAATCCATTGAAAAATCCGGGCAAGCAGGATATTACCGCGGATATTGATTTCGGCTATCTTAGAAGCTTGATTGAAGAACAGACGGTTGTTTTTGGCCCTATCAAACAAAAGTAATATACCTTTTTTCTCAGTTTAATTCATCAATGATAAATTGGTTCTCGATATATTATTCTTAATGAGATTAAAAATGGTAATTTAAATCTTTCCACTCCATTAGTTGTAAATTTCGGCTTTTGTTCATCTGTTTCAATTGTATGTGTTTTTCACCAGCAAGGTTTAAGGGAATTTTTAACTCATATGGGTATCGGAATCCGACTCAACCGATTGCTGCAATCATGTTCGAATGAAAAAGATCGGGAAAACTTAGTTGAATCTTATAAATTTCTTATGTCCGATGAAGGAATGGGATCGCGCTTCAAAGTAATGTCAATTTACCCGAAAGTACTTTATGAAACTCTAATATTCAGGCAAGGACCAGCTGGTTTTCCTCAAGATTATTCCAGAAATATTCTTGGTGAATGATAAAGTCGATTTTGTTAATACTAAATATTTTAGTTTGTGGAAATGTTGATAATGCTTTTAATTATTATTTTCGTTTATTGATAAAGATATTATAAAAATCCTAAGTCAGCATTAAAATGAAGAGGGTTGGCATAGATTTCTATTATAAATGTTTTCTTATTTTGAGATTTGCGTGAATTTTTTTTGCGTAAACAACAAAGAGACCTAAGATTTTATAATGAAAGAGATAAAAGGAATTTGCTTGTGAAGAGGCTTAGGGAAAAGCATTTCAAAATATTTTTATGGCGAATAATCTCACTGCAATTTGAAGATTCGAATGAATAATTATTGCTTTTATTTCTTCTTCAACTTGTTCAATTCGTAATAATCAATGTTAAATCTAAAAATTTTATTATTCAAATCATTTGAAAGCTCGTTGAACTACCCATATTTTTCCGCAATTTGATCAAATTTGCTAAATATAAGGTAACTATGAAGCTCCGAAGTTCAAAATGTGAGTCAAGTGGCTCTCTAAATCTCACACAGAGTCTCATATTCAATTATTCCTGCATGAAAAAGGCGATTTTTCCCATGTGTCAATTATGCGATGCATTTACTATTATATTTATTTTATCGTTTGGTGTGTGTCAAGGTTTGAATAGGGAAACTTCAAGAAATGGTTCCCCATTTGAAAAAATCGGTTTAAACGAGTTATCATCATTCATTTATCTCTGTTGTGATTTGATGCGTTCGATATTAGTTTAGTTTCGACGTTTTCAAGGAAATTTTATAGAAAAAAGGGATTAGAATTAGCTATTTAAATATACATCATTCCTTTGCATGACTAAATCACCTTTCACATAACTTTTGAAACCTTTGTGATGTTTTATTCTTTTTCATATTAAATGTACGATGAAGACAAGGAATTCGGTTTCGTCGTTCCTTTTCGAGTTATCTGATCGTTTCTTCTTTTAAAATTCTTTATTTGGCTCTGATGGCTGCACTGATTATTATGGTGATTCCCCTTAAACATTTTCACAGCTTAACGTGAGAGTTGATTATTTGCTGAATGAATATCTGAATGAAAACTAATATTTATAATATTAGTAATATAATATTTATTCGATAAGCTATAATAATCAAGCGAATATCACATAAATTTTAGCCGCTTTATTTTGAGAATTATATTTTACTATGAACTGTCAGTTTAATTTTTGTTTTATTAATAAATAATTTTCAGGCATCAACTCTTTCTTTTAATATGAAGTCAAAAGTTAAATAAATTGTCTTCCATAGTCTTTCGAATTATCAAGAAATTCCTCTATCAAATCCTATAAACTTGAATGCTTGAAGGGTCATTTCAGCGAATTATAAATTCAACAAGAGCGCCGATTATCGAATTTTATCAAAAAACAAGAATAAAAATAAATATCACACTTGAAATTTATATTAAAACTTTTTCAGAAAATTAATTAAAATAAAGTAATAAATGATGTCTTCAAGTGATTTTATAAATCGCATCATAACTGTATCATTTTATTGTTTCATGACAATTTATGCTCAATTTCCTATGTATGAATTACTTTTATTTGTTTTTTTCTTCAAACAACTAGTTTGGTTGAATTAGTGCACTTCGAGAGTGGGAATATTTTGCAGAAAGTTGGCTGAGGAGGGAAAGAAAAAGCTGAAAGCAGGCGGGTCATCCTTAGGGACATCGGATAAAATTTGTCATTATAATCGAAAGTTCTGGTTTTAATGTTTCCATTTTCTTACTTTTGTTGAGATTTTTGGAAATGCGAGAAGAATAGTAACTAAATCCAATTCACAGATTCATTTTCTTGTTCGTCACAGTATTAATTTTTTTTTTACTTTTAAGCTAAAATTTTCAGCGACGACAGCAGTAGGCATGAAAATATAAAAGTGCCCACATCGCAGATATCAGCAATACTTGATCAGTTAACAAATAATTCGACTTACGATAAACGCCTCAGACCTAAATATGGTCTGGAACCTGTTCGTGTTGGCATAACGCTTCATGTATCAAGCATTAGTGCAATTTCCGAAATTGATATGGTTATTTTTCATTTTTTTAAATTGAAAAGAAGCCATTTCTTAAGCGATCTATGGAAAATTTTAAGCCTTCTCAGAACCAGAAATTTTTAATCTATCAAAATCGAATTTATTTAGTGCTAAACGATGCGTGTAACAAAAGCTTATTTATGTCATGCTTCAATTCATTTCTGCATTCTACTAGCGTCCAAAATCTATTATTTGTCGATTTTAAAAGCTACAAATAATTAATTTTTTGATTCCGATTAAAACCTTAGCATTTAATCATTTGATTCGTGAGGAGCATTTGTTTTCTGGTGATATTTTGCTTAGAAATGGCAAATTAAAAATCAGATCCACCGGAGTCATATCAGCTCTTCCACCTCTGAATAACTTTCTGCCGAAATCTTTTTATGCTAAAAACCAATGGAGTGCATCGAACCACAAATGGTGTGTGCTGTCCATATTTACAAAATAAAAAACTTTTTTCCATATTTGTTCCACTTTAGCTTAGTTAAGAAGTAAGTATTTTGTGCCTTTTTTAAAGATTTTGCAAGACTGCTTCTATGCGACAAAGAAATCCATGCTATTTAAGCATTTCAGTTGTTCGTTTTTCTTTTTGGCAAAGGAACAAAGTCGATTAATCTGGATTAATTTATAACCCTAATTCAATGACAAATTTTATATTCTACTGATTTCTAAAAATTGAATTGAATGTTTCCAGGATTTTACGATCGATTTTTATTTACGCCAAGCATGGAATGATCCTCGTTTAGCATTTGGTGAAAATTCTGATTCTTTACAACAAAACGATATACAATCCTTGACGGTAGATTTTTGAAGAATTTTGGAAATAAGTTCATATCCGGCTTTCCATGCTATAAATTCGTCTAGTAGTGCAGTTCATCTAGCGAAGTTTCTATGATAAAACTGATAATAGTTGATGGTTGGTGAAGTAAGCGACAGTCGAAAAATATGAAAGTAAAAATAAGCAATAAAAATATTTCGCCTTCTTCTATGGCTCATAAGTAAAGGAAATCTGAGTAAAAACTTTCAAGACTTAAAAAGATCCACATGGAAGATATTTGCACCAAACACTTTTATGCGCCTTACCATTCACGCTGAAACGCTGAAAATATCGCTTTCCCATTATTTAAGAAGTGCTTTGTCCCTTTTTTTTTTTTAAATTTTGCATGATTATTTTAAGCGAAGAAAAAATTTACGCTATATTTTTAACTCTTTTTAACTCTTTAATCTACTTTTTAACTCATTGTAGGTTGGAATTGATTACTTGAAGAAGTTATGGAAGCCAGACACTTTCTTTCCAAACGAAAAAAAATCCTACTTTCATCTATCGACTGCACATAATTCATTCCTTCGCATCGACCGTGATGGAAATATTTTTACGAGCCAAAGGTAAAGGTATTAAATTTTTTGCTTTGAAATGCGCATGAGGCATTTCAAGAAGGAACCCATTTCGCTGTTCCCTAACTTTTTTCGATTAATTTAACTAAGCATGTGAAACACTTCTTAAATTAAAATTTGTTGCTCTCGACAAAATGAAGAACAATCGGTTTTTTAATTAAGGTAGGATAGTAATTAAATGTAATTAATAATCCTTAATAAATTGTAATATAAAATGTAATATGAAATGCTTGAATACAAATTATTATAACAAAGCAAAAATTAAAATAAGTCATTCAAAATGATTTATGAGCGACTTTTGAGCAATAACTCACTGGGCCCCTTCGGCGACTGTTGCCCGATGAAGTGTGGTGCGCTGATCACCCTAACCGGTATATATTATATATATATATATATATATATTTATATACTAATATATATTTTTTATTTGAAACAATCAAGCAGGTCGACAAGCGCTATGTGCTTGTATTAATAATAACAAAATAAGGTTAATGAAAAGAAATTAGCGAGCGATGTATGATGCAAAGTACCAAAAGCTGGCCAATGTAAAGAAAAGTAACGCAATAATAGGATTACAGAATACAATAACACAAGTCGAACTTAATGTATTACTGACTATGTATATATATATATTTTTTAAAGAGCCCTTACCATTACTGGTTAGACTTACTCCACTGGCTTGTCGCGTTGGGCAATATGCCCAAGAAATCCCTTGACGATAAAGACATAGGTGAAACATCACCCGGATCACTCCTGCGGGGAATAGAACCTCAGCATCGGCGTTCCCAATTGAGCAACAACTCACTGAGCCATTCGATCCCCACTGATTATATATATATATATATATAAATTAAACTGCTTAACTCCATGAATTGAATGAGTTTAGGTTGGGTAGTTGAAGCTGTGTTTTATAATTATAATTAGGCTTGCTATTAGGTGAGAGACAATATATTAAATATTTCTTAAATTTTACAATTAATTTACTTGATTTGCGGTATCTAAGGAAGTAACAGGTTAAACGAAAATTTTATATATGTAATACGAAAACATTAATTTCTTATTTCAAATGACTGAAAAACAAAATTTGGCAAGTGTTCTGCAGCAAAAATCGAAGGCCACATTATCATCCACGACTATGCCAAGATTCGAGACTCGTCATTACGTCATCATTAATGAAGGAATTAGGGAGATCGAATCCTTTTTCGAATTTATTTGTAACTTTTGAATGGAAAGAGTAATTTGCAATACAATTAAGCAGCTGGAAATTCTATTATAGCGGAGAATTTTACAGTCATCAGCATAAGTAAAAGTCCGATACAACTGCCTTGAAAGATGCCTGGTTTGACTAGAGCCAAATCTGGAAGAAAGTTATCGATGCGTGGCTTGGTATCGATTTTTTATCCTGATATCTAGTTATACAACTTGTCTATAATGCCATAAGGTTTAATGATGGCCAGCGACTTGCTGTGGGAAAAAGTATTATCAGATGCTTTGGCTAGATTCAGGTTCAGCTGATACTATTTTTCCATTATCAACTGATGTTGACCAATCAGAAGGATTTGTGGATTTTTTCGAGGAAAAGCCATGATAAAAGGGCTTTAAATCGTTGGCATCACGATAATTAAGCAACTTATTGCATTAAATAGCCTATATGGGACAATTTATCTTGGATTTATACCATTCCTCATAATATCATTATAAATTAAACACAGAGAAAGATTTAGGGAAACTCTTTTATATACCTATGGATTATTAGTTCGTCTTTTAGGATAACAGTGACAGCAATATGCCATATGAAACTTCAGCTGTTTCCGATGGATTATCAGCAGTGCAAACTTGCCATCGAAAGCTGTAAGTATATTCTCGTTGTACTGGTAACGATTATTTCGCAATAATCGAATGAAATGTGAGCGAGTATTCTCTCAAAAATTTTTGCAATTCTTTGGCGAAAGAATTCGTAAATCTGAATTAATTGTAATTTGTTAACGCCAATAATTGACTAATTTCATTTAAAATTTTCCAAAGATCAAATTAAATTAATTTTTTACATAAATCTTTCCGAAGTATGATTTTTACAAGTAAACAAAAGTCAATTTTTTTCTTCAAATAATGCAATTGCTAAATTATTGAATCATATAATAAAGTAAAAATGCCAATGATAGTCTTTTTTTATGACAACATTCATTGTTTCTAGTTCAAGTGGGTCATTAGGATGATGTACTACCTTCGCCAGCGAGTCATTTGGCGAAAGGAAGTGCGAATGTGTACTTAGCACCGAGTCGATCTTCTGAAGACATTTAATTCTCTTTCAAACTTGAAACATCCACCCGATTTCATAATTGAAATAGGTATGACGGCCCTGTCAATTAATAGGAGGTTTTTTTAACGGAGTTAATAGGACTTTTGGTTTGTTATTTCCAATATTCAGAAGCAAAATTTACAATTTGCATCGGATAAATGCCATTCTTTTTTTTTAAAAGCGATGCGTTATTTGAATATTCTATAAATAAATCCTTGAAAGGAAGAGAACGCTTTTAAAGCCTCAAATTCATCGTTCTCAGAAATCCTCCTTGCAGTTTATTATTTTAATTGAATCATTTTATGCTTCTTGCTTTGACCTTCCATTGTGCCATATTCGAATTTTTAGATGGTTATAGCGTACTCGATATAATATATTATTTTAAATCGAAAGATTCTGGTTATCGCTCGGAATTCGAATTGCCTCAGTTTGTTTTGATCGACATTCAGTACGCTTCGAAGATTGAAAATCTTAGTTCTGGTAAGAATTTCAATTTTCTTCCCTCAGTTTTGGCTCTGTCGGTTATTAGGATGGTTATATACCTTCAATTAAACCTTCAATCACTACATTTTATGATTTATGAACTAATCAGGTTAATCACTCGAGTAAAATTTTTTTAAGCAATGATTATGCAGTTTAACATTTTAACATTTTTAACATTTTCTTGAATCTGGAAAAATTAATGTTTTTCCCGACAGTATTATAAAAAATTAGCGATCTCTCAATCCATAAAAAAAGGTTCAGATTCTCAGCAGAACTATTTATTTACCTAAAAGCTTTAAATTATTGAATAGTGGGATTCGGATTGTCTTGTACTAATACGCTGGTTATTAGATTAGGCGCTAAAGGATTAAAAAGGCTGTGACTCACAATTTTAAGTAAAACTGAAGGAAAACTGGGAAAAAAGACAATTTAACTGCAACGTAACTAATAAATGATTTAGGTAACTATTCAAGATTGGTTTGCTTATTTTTATTCAAGAGAAACATTGGGTTCTATGTAATTCAAATATATTTACCATCGGTACTTATCGTTATTATTTCTTGGGTATCATTTTGGTTAAGTCGTGATGCGACTCCAGCTCGAGTCGCACTTGGTGTTCTCACTGTTTTAACAATGACCACACTAACTACTACTACAAATGTAATTTTTTTTCTTTTATCGAAATAGTCTAAAAACCTGATCTCTACAAAAAAGCAAAAAATCGATCCGGAAAATAAGTACCCAAAAGCTGTGCCATAAATTTTGACAGTGAATTAAAAGACTGCTTGAAACTAAAGTAGGTAAAGTTTCAAATAATCACCTATTTGTAAAAATTAATGGTCGTTTGGTTATCACAATTATTTAAACGGACTTTCAGGCATCTATGCCTAAAGTATCATATGTAAAAAGCATCGATATATTTCTTGGTAAGTTTGCAATCTTTTCACATTTATTTTAGTTTTATTGCCATAATTCGATAAAGTACCACCCGAATTTTAATGGTAGACCTAGCGAAAACAGAATCCGAACTTTACTTCCTTTCTCATTTAGTTATCAAATGCTGTTTGGAACAAAAATCAATTAAAAAAAAAGATTCTTAAATAGATCGGAATCGCCAAATTTTTCCAAGTCATACCATTTAAGTTTTACCGTGTTATATGCTTTTTAAAATCGGCTTTTCAAATTCATATTATTTTCAGTATTCTCAGGAATTCCGATTATTGTACCTTGATTTTCTGGTATTCTTTATCATTCCATCTCAATGGCGGTCCTTTTTCTTTTAAGTTCTAATATCCCTCATTATCATCTTTAATATCATCTTCAGCTTTCCGTCATGATATCTTTAAATCCAGTTGTTTTTCATTCTTTCATTTGGTACACGATCGTACAGTGAAATGTCAAGAAATGTTACTTTTCATGCTATCACTCTCTGGGTTGTTTGCAAGCTCCATTCTTCTATCTGTTTTCAAAACCAGGTTTCGCATCCAAGCATGCAAGAAAGAATTATAAGTTGTAAAAGTTAATTCGCTTCATGGGGTTCACTTTGTCTTTCAATACTTGTTATTGAATTTTCTTGATGGCCAACCAGCCCTAGGTCTCTTTTTCTTGCATCTTGCAATTCTTCGTTGATGTCGTGTTTGTTATTAATTATTTACAACATATACCTAGATATGAACTTATTTCTATTGCTGAGTTTTTTGACTATTCTTATATTTGAGGTGGGAAAACTTCTTTGATGCATTCTAGATCTTTAGGCTAATATTCTTGCTATTTTTTCCATAGCGATCACTAAATACCATCGATAGTTCAGATAGATAGGTTCAGTTTTTCCCCATTTATATTATTTTCACCTTTGTACCAATAATAATACCAATTTTAAAAAATCGTTCTTCCTTAGGGATAAACTAATCTTCATCTTTTCATTTTTTATTTGTTATAACTTTATTCTATAGGTGTCTCCTTTTTAATGGTATTTGGCTCGTTACTGGAGTACGCGGCTGTTGGATATATCAGTAGAAGAAACGGTTCTAAGCAAAAAAAGTAAATATTTCTCAGCTTTTAGATTTTAGCAGTGCAAGGATATTATATTACAGAATGTGATAAAACCATTACAGATACTCCATAAATCCTTCATTCGTGCAAACTTCAGTAAATAAAAGATCTTCTTCTTCGCGAAGTGCTCTTCCTTTTTTTGCAAATCGTCTTTATCAACCTTTTTATTCATCGCATGATGAGAATTCCAATCTTTATAATGGCAGGCACATTGATCCTCCTGTTTTATTAAAAGAGGTATTTCAGTTTCGATTTGTCTAAACTTATAGAACTTTACATTAGCATTTTTTTCAAAAATTTGAAAGTCCGAATTTAAAATTTCATACCATTTAGTAAATGGTTAGGTTCATTAATGGCCGATTTACTCTTTCCAGAGGCAGAGAATGAAATCTCTAGTGCTCGACCCAGTCAGTGCAGCCATACCACCGTAACCATCTCTTTCCTCCAGCATCATCCTTAGCATAAAATAATTATTATGTCATTATTAATAGAAATTAGAATTTTTTCATTCTTTGCTTATTTCTTATGTGAACAGGGAGAATGCCAATGTCCAATTCCTCCTCTGTTATCACCTCAGTATGAATTAGCCGTTCAAGTGCAAGAAGAAAATTGCTCAGTTCGACCAAGTGATATAGATAAATATTCACGATTCGTATTTCCACTGGTTAATTAAAATTTAAAATTACATAAAAAGAATAACAGAAATAATAAAAATAATAGTATAATAGAAATTTTTTAAATTATTTGCTTGGATTAGTTTCCATTTATTTACATTTTTTATCACTAATGTTTATTTTTTTTAATATTTACGTGATCAAATTATTACAAATTTGGCAAATTAATTAGTACTCAGCACTACTTTCTTAATGAGGTTAATGGTTTCACTGGCTATTAGGATAAGATATTTTCACGGGAAAGCAATTTAGACATAAAGCATTGGATTTCTAAGTGATTCTAAGTGATAGGATCTGAACCATTATATTTAGCAGTGCTAATGAAGTTGAATTCCTAGTCCTACTGCTAATTTATTTAAGATCAGGAAAGGCGAAAGCCATGCGTTTATCCTAATGGCAATAACATATTGTCTGCCGTAATGCAGATTGAAAAAGTTTTCCATTATTTCCTAAAATTAAAATGTCTTAAAAAATGTTAGATTTTGTTTTATTTTCAGGTTTTCATCGTTTTTAATTTAATATATTGGATTTATTATTACAATATTAGTGGTTTTGAAATTCGACTGAGAGAATTCGATTCTTAATTTTGTGGTTAAAATGAGAATTTTTGTTGCTATTTTCTTATGAAAATATTATTCATTATTTTTAGAAAAATTTTTTAAAAAATTATAAATTGAATAAGAGCGAGCGTTATATGAATTCAAAATTCTTCTAACAGCGCGAACCATTACTAATAGTCTAGTAGTTAGCCCACATTATTCTGATTCCAAGTTGCTACTCTCATTTTTCGGATGAGTTTTTTTCACCTGAAAATATAAATATGAAAATATTATATTTTGAAAATATATTACTTATTGGTAATGTATATTACTGCTTCAGTTGAATGTTGCGAACTTTCCAATTCAATTAGCCTATCACTTCGCATACCATAATGATATGGGCAGAATGGCTTAGTGAATTGTTGTTCTCATTTCGTGGTGCCAGTGGTGGAGTTCCATTTCCGGTAGGAATAAACTGGTTTTTCAAAAATCCTGGTGGTTCTGTATTTACTCATCTCTATTTCAAAGTAATTTCTGGCAGAATTTATCTGACCGATAAGCCGGCAGCTTGTCTAATCAGTAATGGTGATCGCTCTTAGAAAAAAGAAATTCACTGATGAAGACATCACAACAACGTATTGAAAGAAACAAAATAAAATGAATGTGATAGTCGTGATGGTTCTCTCGTTTTTAATGGAAATAGATATAAAGACAAAGAAATCTGCTCGAACTTAAAAAATTTCTGATCTGAGATTTCAGCGAGCTATTTTGCAAGTACTTCCTTTTTTTTGTACCATTTACATTTGAAAAGAAAAATGAGAAAAATTAGATTTTTCGATGAAATATTTCCATCATTTGAATAAAATAAATAATATTTGAATTGAATAATAATAGTTCAGTGTAAAATAAATAAATAATAAATAAAATAATAAAATAAATAAAAGGTAATAATCGAATATATAAATATCTTGAAAAATTATTGAAGTGATTATGCGGACGTTTCCAGGATTTGATAAACATTTTTATACGTTCCAGAACTATCAGGAATTGAGGACACTTGGATGATTTGTAGCCAGTCAGAACCGACATTTGTATTTGTGTGCTTTCTCTTCCTGTCCTGTTCTATTTCCTTCCACTCTATTTTCCATCTATGTTCCTTCTTATTTTTGTTTTTTTTACCATTTCTTCATCAATAGTTGGCAATAATTTAATAATTTATGTTCTTCTTGAATCTTTATTTTTTTTTATTCTTTTATCAAATAAAACATTTTTTTTGCTCTGATTTTGTGGTATTTTATCATAAATAAATGGAGAAAGATAATTTGCAAGTGGCGAAGTAACTGTTTTTAGATGGGATTTTAAAAATCTTGGGAATATTTTAAAACTGTTTCATTCACGATAACTCTGGTCTATCATTTTAATCATTTAATATTTAATCATTTAATACACGAAAACTGGGTTTTTTTCCGATTTAATCTTTTAATTCTCAAGCCATTCATCGGACAGAAATCTATTAAAATCTATAAAAATAAATTTATCGTACTTCCAAATTGTCAAAAAAAACAGCCATTAAAGCATGAAAATTTCCAATCGTTTTTACTTAACAATGAACCAATAAAAAAAGCTTTTTGGCAGATCAATTAAAATTGAAGAAGGATTAGTGAATAGGCTTAATAATTGTTATTTGCTTTATAATATAGGGACGTTCATAGTGTAATAAGGATGTATGTTCAACTGAGATTTTAGCTGAGATTTTGACTCAAATTTCATCTCAACTAACACGGATCGCTCGTAATAAATCCGTTACAATCTTCTTCTGGATTTGTGATGAAATCAAGTTAAATCATCAGAAATAAAGAAATAAAAATTTTTTATCTATTAACTTTCCAACATCCACACTAAAGTTTCCATGAAATTTATTTACTGGTATTCTCTTTCTACTGATTTCACTGGGAATTGTACGTAAGAGAAATTTGTTGCAGATGTTTTTTACTGTGTGTATTTAAGGCTTAAATTTTATGAGTGAGTCCATATGCTCGAGTTTACATGTGTAAAAAAAAGCTGAGAAAGCAAAGAGAAAAAATCATCTGAGTGAGAATAGCATGACAGATATCTTACCAAGATTTTTCCCACTCAATTATCTTTTCCTAACATATTTCAGTGATGGATTGAAGATTTAAAAAGCAGTTTAATCAATTTTAGCGCTTAATGAATCAGTCAAAACAAAGATTTTATATATAAATTTAGTTGATTGTCTTCTAATCAGTTTAGAAACAATTAACCGAAAAACCTTTAAAAATCCTGCGCATATGTCAGATCTATTCATACACGAGAAGTCACCTCGGTTCTCCTTTGGTCCTTCTCTTAAATTTAGGCTTAAATCTTGATAATTAGTCGTAAAAAATTTTTCAAGGGCAACATTTTGAACCATCTTGCGGCTATAATGCCACAAACGATAAATTGCTTCAACCGCATCGTAGTAATTTTTTTCGAAAAACCGTGAATTTCATTCATTTTTCTAGATTCTTATACAGTGATTTTCTACTTTTTAATTATAAAAACATTGAAATAAATTAAATATTGAATGAAAAAAGATTTTATGGAAGCAAATCAATATTTCACTCGATAATTGATGATTGCAGATAAGCAATATTTTTAATATTTGTGCATTGCTGCTTTTATTTGATATTTAGACAATTGCTTATGATTTAGAGACGAAGATAAATTTTTATGCATTTCGTCGATTTTTTGCTTAGTTAAATCTCAAATCTTACTGAAGAACGATAAATTAGCGAGAAACAATTACGCTTTCGATTACCACTGCTATCAGTTCTAATAAATTTCATATCTGCTGCACTTTATTTTAAAAAAAATTAGAGTTCAGAGGCGAATAAATTGACTAAATTTAATCTCGCAATATTAAATGTAATTTTTTTCCTAATACTTGAGAGATTTTTTCAGAAGCATCTCAGCCTAGTGATGAAGCTTCGACTAACCAATGATGTGGTGCGAGAAGAATAAGAAATCGTAATTTCGTTATTTTAATATACTGCATCAATATGAATTTGAATAGGTTAGACATAATTATGGGTTATAAATCAAAAAAACGCCTACCTGTTTCAATATTTGAGATAAATCATTCTATACCTATTCATTTTTAAAATTTTTCACTATATTTATAACGGCCTCCATTCAATTTCCCATCTGCGAACCACAGTCGTCCTAAAGAATCTCTTCGAATTCCTTTTATTTTATGCAATGATCTAATTCATAATAACCTATATCGAATTTGAAGATGAGTTAAAAATGAATTTCCTCATAATACTTAATACTTTGAAAATGAATAAAGATTTATAATTCAATCAGCATCCCTGCCAAAAATTTATTGTTCCATTGCTAATTTATGCTGTTGCATAAACGCAGTTTTCAAATAAAAATCAAGACGAAATCAAATAAGAAATAATGGTAGGTAACATGCAGGTCGAAATCAACATCAAATGGATATCTCTAAAATTAAATTAAAGATATGTGGTCAGCGCTCATTTTTTTGTTAGGTTCCGCTGATTTTTTAACAAATTTTTTCCAGAAAATCATTTGGTTGAAGTACGGATGGTTCCCTAAGATTTTTTGAAAACCAGAAAATCGAACCTGTGACACTGTGATGAAAAATCCCTTATGAAATAATATAAAAAAACTAAGCGTCAAGACAAAACAAGTTCCAACCATTGTGAAGCATATTGACGATACAGTTTTCAAAAATCAGTTCCATTATAAGTCTGCTTTCTTATGCCTATTTTTTTTATTCAGTGTTCATGATAAATGTTCACCAAACTTGCTCATTCACCTTCTTTTGCGGTGTCTTAATGAATAAATTGAATAGAAATTTATATCCATAACCATTATGATGATTTTCATAACCATAAAGCGTTGTTCTAAATCAAATAAAAACAGAATTCATCAGCAATAGATTAAGGCCTTCAATGCAATCCACTGAATTAATTACACTGAATTAATTTAGGTATTATGATGGATTATACTGCTGCCAATGTAGCCAATGAGAGTGGAATATACAAATAGCCATTCATCTCTGATCATGCAAGCTTAATGAACACTTAGGCATATTATTCATTTTAAACACCCTCATCGCCAAGCAAATAAGAGGATCTCATGGAACTACTTGAATATCATTATTATTACCTTCACAGAGCATTTCCAAGCTGGTTAAGTCATCACTTGCCCCTCATCACAGATGAGGCATTTAGTTTTATGAGTTTTATGAAAGACAGCATCAAAAGTGAAAATCGAATGATTCGAGAGTTCCAAAGCCAGAATTGATTGCGGTCATATTTTAAGTTCCTAGGAACCGATTTTTAGATATGATATCGGATCGAAACAGTCGATCTACTTCAATCATTTTATTCGTTGTTAGAAGAAGAAATCGAGTTCGAGTATGTTACTTT